AGCCCTCTCCAGGCCGCGCGCCCGGCCTGCGCGCCGGCATCGGACGGGTCTAGTCGTGCCCGAGAGCCGCGGTCACCGCCGTCCTCGGCGCGAGCCGCGGGCGATGGAGCAAGGACACGGCCACGAGCTAGAAGCGCCTCTACTCGCCGCGCCCCATCAGGACGGAGCTCGCGCGGCGACGAGAACACGCGGCGCGGCACCGCCCCTCGGGCACCGCCCCCTGCGCGCCGCGCGCCGCCGTCCGCACCCCGCCGCCCGGCAGCAAGCAGCCCCGCCGCGTGAGCAGGCACCCGGCGCAGCCGCGTTCGTACCAGGGGGGGGCGTCGTGCCGGGGCGGAGCCGCGCCAGAACCAGCCCGCCCGCACCCGCCCAGACACGTGCTGCCTTTGTTCCCGCCGTGGCGTCGGCAGCTGCGGACGGAGAGGGCGCTCTTGGCTGCGTCCCGCCCACCGAGTGCAGCCATCCCGGCCAGAGGCCGCCGCCAGCGCTGGCTCCCTGCTGTCACCTCACACCCTCCTGCCTGGGGGAGAAGCGAGGTAGGAAGGCTCGAGGGAGGGAGCAAACCTGGACCGGGACTCCCAACGCCATGCGCGCCTCGCGTGCGTTCCCACCGATTTCATTGCCTTTGTGTCGTTCGTTCCTCGTCCCTGGTGAACGCCTGCAGCCCCTCTTGTTGTTAGATGCCATAAAATCGAGTGGCAACAACAGATATGAACCCTGCCCTATGCGGTATGCGGTGCCAGCTTCACAATCTGAACACAGCTTGCTGCAGCCACTGGCAATCCACCTGGTTGAGGATCTGCCTTGCCTTAGCCGGCCCCCCAACCCTTTCCACTGGCAATCCACCTGGTTGAGGATCTGCCTTGCCTTAGCCGGCCCCCCAACCCTTTCCAAGAATGATGTGCCTTTTCAAGGACTAGCAGCCCCCAGAGGTCTCCAAAAAGCCCCGGGAGCCGCTTGGGATCACTCCACACACAGTGGCTGACTGCCCAAACCATACCTTCCACAGGGCCCTGAGTCTCCTCAAATGTGACCTGAGGCCTCCACTCTCCCTCTTTTAAGCTAAAACCGAAGCAACTGTTTCTCCACTCAGTGTCAGACCTCTTGATGTAAATGTTTTTGCAGGTATAATTTGAAGACTTGGTGCCAAAATGCTCTGAAATTTTGCTTCTACTATTCTTCAGTTATGTATCTAGATTTCTTTACAAAGACTTTTTCATCCCTTTTTAGCTTAGTTCATTCAAATATCCAGGAAACAGGATCATATTTGAACCTGGGCCTAGAGATGAGGCAGCTGCTACCTAGGGAGGCTGTGTGCTGGACTAATGAGGACTTGCAAAACTGGGCTAATGCTCAATTCCTTGACTGCACTCAGAACATACTAGACTGTCAACCTGTACAGGTCTGCCAACTCCACCCACTGCCCTAAGTAGAGCAGAAAAAGAATCCGGCATCACTTAGGACAAAGATGCAATCAAATCTTAAGTGCTAGAATTGACATCTCACCCAAATACGTAGTGGCTAACCTTGGAGAACTTCAAAATGCGCTCAGTAAGCAGTACTGCTGGCTGGGGGTGGGACTGCCATCTCAAGGAGATTCCATGTGTCCTAATAGATCTGTGCTGTACTGTATAGTACTGTGCTGTGGTGTTTGGCAGCCAGACCTTTCTTCCAAGGCACATCTAGGTGAGTTATGAACTGCCATCCAAGGACTCCACTTCTCATAGCTCTACAGAAATATCCACAGCCACTATTAATGGCATAATTTTGAGTGGTCCTCAGTGCAGAACTCCAACCTGCTCTTGTCAAAAGTTGTCCTGAACCCTGCTTTAAAAAGCTCCAAGAAGCCAAATCCTCCAGGTCCCCTACCCCCACCTCTCCTCTACTCTGGAGCAGAGCCCCTAGTGGAAAAGCCCAGCTCCTGCGCTAGTGGAGTCCACATTTTTTGGTCTCATTCTGGTGTTGCAAACCCACTACCACTGATTTGGACTCAGCGACCCTCCATCGTGTATCTGAGGCTGTAAATCTTTATGGGGAAAAGACCGCCTGTCTTTCCTTCCTCTGAACACCTGGTGGACTGGAAGCACCGATCTTTCCGTTAACAACATGTTAACACACACCCCAGAGGGTCTTACTCTGGTGATGGTGTTTGCCATCATATTGGGAGCAAGTTTACACTTGACCCTCCAGCGCATTTTCAGAGGCAGTTAATCACACAGGATTGGCCTTCTGGCAGAGCAGCAGGTGGATTCAAACCATACACCCTTGGGATTGCAGCTCAGCTTCTTGCCCAGGGCTCCTGGGTGTTGATCAAAGGTTAAATGCTGTTTCCCAGAGTACACCCAGATTTCTAGCCCTGCAGTCCATCCCCTTCTAAGAATCAGGGCCTGCTGTTAACTGTAGCCATGAGTTTCAATTCTGGTTCACGGTGGGCAGTGCCAGCCTTCACCTAACCCCACTATTAAGATTCAAATTGAGGAAGAACATACCTACATGGGTCTTTTTCAGCCTGGCCATATCCTGGTTTCCTTTGGCTAGCACCTTCCCTGCTCACTGCCTTATCATGACCATATCAATTCATCAAGTGATGTCAAGTCTAAGGGCCTCACAGTGGGTTTTCAGAGGCAATTTAATTGTATGGGAGGAGACTGCCCATCTTTCTCCTGCAGAGCATCTGGTGGATTTGAACCTGGCTTTGGGTTGACAGCACAAACCCTTAACCACATGTCACCAGAGCTCCTTAATAACAAGATAGAGGACTGCCCTGTCATATTCCAAGGCTGTAGTCCTCGTGGCATCATTCTGCTAGTGAGCAGCTGGTGGGTTCAAATCACTGACTTCATTTTGCAGCCACGTTCTGTACCATCAGTTTTCTAGCACCTTCAAAAGTAACTCTTGACAGAACTAGCTCAGCGTCTTCCCACTGTATGGTCTTCCCACCATAGGGACTATCACGTCAGTGCCGGCCCACTGCTGCTATGACCGAGAAGGCTCTCAGGAACCCCGTCCACCCAGGCCTTGCCTGCTCGGGCCGTAATAACTCCTCTGCTCATGCAAGCTCCCACCACCCTCCTCTCTCTCTCACCCAGCTCCCACCACTGTTCCAACTGGAAACAAGGTAGCATGAGCAGTATCTGCCAGAAATCACAGAATCAAGGACCAGAAGGCAAACCCAGTGGAATGATGCAGAGCTGTTTTCTTTTGTCTGATCCCCAAATGCTATCACCATTAATCAAGCTATTTTATCCTGTACCTGACCTCTAGCTTCCTTAAGGACCAGTCTGTCTGTTACGACCCTGCTGTGCTGGGATGCCCAAAGCACTGGTCATCTCCAACTTCCAGAATGGATTCCAGATAAAGCAAGACTGAGTCCTGCCTCCCGAGGAAGTTGGCTTTGTTCTTTCAGGGATCACAGAGCAGCATCTAGAGGCCCTTCTGGGCAGCACAGATTACATAACACACATACAGCAGAGGATCAGAGCCAAGCCCTCAGTCTCTGCTGCTCCCAGCACCAGCAGCATCTCACCCAGACATAAGCCCCAACAACGTGAAGGCTGGTGCCAGAAAGATCCCTGAGTGAGGGCACTGGGTCCAGGCCAGCCTGTGCACCTCCTGCCCCTCAGCTGAGGCTAAAGGTGTATTTCACACCTGGGAAGGCAGGCGATAGCACAAAGGCCAGCCAGGTCTAGAGCAGTAGTGTCCAACAGAAAGAGAACAAGACATAGCACATGGAACTTTCTACTAGCCACAGTGCAGAAGTAAAAAGGAACAGGTGAGTTTTATTTACTTATTTATACCCACTGCCCTAGACTTGGAAAGCACTGACTTCCCCAGCTATGGATCTCACTGGGAAAAACTTGAAGTCCTTTAAAAAAGCCCTGGTGCTGTAGTGTGTTAAGTGTTGAGCTCACAGTCTGGCAGTTTGAATCCACTAGCTAGCTGCTCTGGTGGAAGCAGTCTCTTCCCATTATGATTTACGGCCTTACAAACTGGAGGCTGCCACGAGTTGGAATCAACCAAACTGTACTGAGTCTGGTTTGGTTTTGGTTTAAACCAGTACTCTTTCTGCAAATAAAATTACATAGAAACAAAACGCTAAAACAGGTAACAGAATAGACAGAATTAAAACTGAGAGTCTGGGGCTCGTCCCTCAAAGTGGCACCAAACACTCTCAGAAAAACCATCCCAGGGTCTGGAGGAAATATGGAAACCAGTGGTTTGAAAAATTCCCAAAATGAAGCTTCTGCGTGCAAAGACTCTGCAGGCACTCATGCTTGTGATTCCTCACACTGCTCGCCCATCTCTGCCAGCGACCTGTCACTGGCACTTCCGCCTCATCACGCACATAAAGAACAGGCTCAGAGGTTACCACAGTCCCAAACCCTCATGTCTTCACTGGACCATGTAACATTGGAAAAAGAGAAAGTTATCTCAACACTAGGTAAAACCACAGGCCTCATCAACCAACTGTGTTGGCCAGAGCCCTCCACTTGACCCCACAGTTGGCTAAGGGTCTCCTAATTAGCATTAAAATAATAGCATTTTAGACT